CCGACTTGTGCTAGGCCAGCACAACTCAGATATACAGTTTTGTAACATTGCAATAATTGGTGGGAATTTAAACATTAATTTTGTCGAAAATTGTTCGAAATCATTTTTTCATTATAACTTCTATAATTATCAGTATTTGAAAATAATGTTTTGGCACAATGTTAGCACAATTTAGCACAACCTAGCACAATTTTTAAAAATCGGAAAAAACGCAAAGTGGAAGGCTGACCCAAAATTACGTTTTTTTTACCCTATTTTTCGGATTTCGAGTTTAATGTTCTAGAATCTAGCACAATATGGCACAAACCTAGCATTCAGCACAACTGTCACAATTGGTAAACTCGAAAAGCGGGGGGCTAACTTCTTACAGATCTGATATGTCAGTAAAACAAGCAAAGCTTCAAGAACTAGTCACCAGATTTTTCCTCGAATGCATCTGCGCTGCTGTAGCTTTTAAAATGTAAGGACATGTTTTTACCTAAAAAGTAACCAACTTTGGCCAGGTGCCCGGGCGTAGGAAATTTTTCCTCACTTATTCTGCTCGAAGTATAAAAAAGTGTGTACTTTTCCCTTCAATTTAAAAAAAAGAAGTTACTGCGATTTTTTTCGCCAAATTACAGCTTTTTGAAGTAACCCTTGTATTTTTGTTAAATTCATTACCGTCGACATCAGCGTAACCCAACGTGCACCTGGAGGGAGTATACTTTTTAAGTGTATACTTTTCACGATATGTTGCCGATCGGATTTTGCACATCGTGAAAAGTATACACTTTTTGATACCGTAAGCAGAACTGGCGAAGAAAAATTATTACACTCCGTACAGTGCGTCAAAGTGTGCAATTTTTAGAGAAAAAACATGATCTTGATTTTGAGAAAGTTCCGTGAAATGGGAAGAGTGAATGCAAATTCCAATAAGAGCTTCTTAAAGCAGAGGCTTTGCCCTATAAAATGAAAAAAAAACTTTTCAATTCGACCAGTTTTCGCGAAGTTACGCTTATTTGAAATTCGCCAAATTTTGATGTAAATTTCTTGTTGCGTTAATTTTTTTGACCAGTGTATATGATTTAATTAATTAACCATTAGTTAGCTTACCAGGAGATTGGAACAACCTGCCCTTAATCATTTACATATTGCAACAAGAAACGGGAAATCTCGGATAATGCATCATTATAAATTTAAACAATTTATAAAACTAACATTTCGGTAGTTTTACTATTAATAGTAAACACTCGTTATAACAAAAACGAAATATACATAACTATAAATGGCATAAGTACTAATATTAAGTTCAAGCACAGTTCCTATTTCAGAGGAGACCAAAAAAGACAATCAAAGCTTTGTGCTTTTAAAATAAAGGACAGGCAAAGTAAAATGAATTATTATTTGATACAAGTGACATTATGGAGAAAGTACGTAATTTTTTTAACTACGAGTAAAACTCATTTATTGGTGCCAAGATACAGTCTGTAGCCGAGGCAGTATTCTTACAATTATAAGATGATACCTACGTCGTCTATCTATTAAAATCAAAATTCTACTAAATTGTTAATAGTATAAATCGGGAGCATTAGGTATTTCGTCGCTCTTAAAAATATACTTTTTTTCGTTTATAATATTGAATTTAGTAGCGTATTATTTGTGCGAATAAAAAATTATTTGCAATAATAACCTTTTTAAAGAAGACAAGATATAATTATAAAATCATATTTCCAAAAAAGGAAAGGGGGAGGAAGGGCGGGAGGGGGAGAGAGAGAGAGAGAGAGAGAGAGAGGTGATACGTCTATTAGCAAAATCAACCTCAAACGAGCTACATGAAAGAAATCTCCCATAATTAATTCCTTTATTCTTGTCTAATTAATTAAGATTAAAGAATTATATATGTTAATGTACAAAATTTGATTAAATACATAACAAAAGGTATCTGTTATCTCTACATTTGCAGATGTTTAAAAAAATTTTAAGATGTGTGTGTTCCGTTTATCTCTGTCCAGCCCAACGATAATCTCTCTAACATTGTAGACTGTGTTTGAAATTAATTAATATCGTATGTATATGTGAGCCATATATTTACCTGTAATTTAGACATATCTGTACATTCTACGATTCTATAATTGTTGTACGCTATTACTTATACAATATATTATTAATCAGATATAATAACAAAAACAATGTAGAAAACAAAAGTTCCTACCTATCTCAACAAGAAACATCGTTTAATTAGAATAAATATGGGCTAGAAAGAGAGTTGAAAATTTTCTTTATAAACAGCATTTGCTGGATTTCAAGACTACAGTACATAAAAAGATATAAGCGATAGAACTAAAGCGGCAAGCAAATCGATTAATTACAGTCGAGCGTTTCCGACCTCGTACAAGTCTCTTTTTTATGTTCTATGGCTTGTAAAGTAGTAAACTGTTAATATCAGAAATTTCTTGGAGATATGATTAAGTTCTTTGATAAATAATGAGAAACTATCGACGAATCTCTGTGCAACGAATGTTAGAATATATTACTGCAACATTTAAATAATAACGTAATATGTCTTTAACTAGCTCACATTAAATCTATATATTCTATTATTACAACAGTGATCCTTCGCCCTGAAAGAGCATCTCTCTCCTCTAATTTGCATACCGGCATTCATAATTCGGGCATTAACAAATCTCTCCGCTGCTTAGGATACTTAATATTTTATTTTGAAGGTACCTTATCTACCATTGAACTGCTTACATACTGGAGTGTCGGGTATTCGAGGAATAATAATTCTAGATAGTAAGATAGTGGAACGTTCGTCAGAGTTAGCAGTTTAGGTGAAACAGGATCGGAGCTCAGAGTCAACGCTAATCTGCGCACCCTCACGAACATATTACAAATTCAGCATCAATACGGATCTCAGCTACGGTTCGCACACTACAATTAGCTCGACGAACGAGCTCGCGTTTTCTTCTTTTTTTTGTACTAGTAATCGATAGTGAAGACATCCCGTGATAAGAGTGTGTAATGGGACAACGGATTTCTATACGTGTATATTGTCCAAGGGAAATTATATCATGAGCTCGAATCAATTCGAAAAATGCATTCTAAGTAATCTTCTGCGGGTACATTATTAAGTATACGAGTGATTAGTACCATAAACATCAACTATACAATTATTGCTATGGAAGCAGTACGACGATTCAGAGCCCCGATAAATTCAAACGAACTTATCGCATACATGTATATATAAACATAACATATACATATAACCAAATATATATGTATATACACATATACCTTCTCGTATATACACATATATACATATATATATCTGGTTATTTATATGTATGTATATTTTATATCTTATATATTGTCTTTAATTAATCTAAGCTATGTGTAGTGCTAAAATTACAATAGTTAACTCATGTCACGTCGGCTAGATGTGTCGTAAATCCAGTTGAACTTATCGTCGGCGTCGAAACAGCGTAACTCATAATACATTGTTATATAAACAGCTTTTATAACGTGAAATCTGTCCTACTTGTATTCGTCTCTTTATATATACATAGCACGTCTAGCGATAACTACAATCAGTAACAACTAATACATTCTTATCAGCGTGGCGAGCACGGCGGCTTTTGCGGCCTGCGCAACACCCGCCATTCTGGATAAAATATATTTCATTGCATTCAACTTTTATCCAATTTTACTCTTTCTCACCGAGTTAGCTACGTTTATTGTCAATACATTCGGAATAGTGTCGCTGTGCCGTCTTGCCTGCGTTCGTAACTTTCGTTTAAGTATCCACAAAATCCGCTTCTGTCAATCTCAACAAATTTCTCACTCGCACCCGTGTAACTCGATAGACTTGCGAATCTTAAGAATCGCATTGGCCATCCGTTTTCTCCCCTTAACGGATATTTACGAAAGTGCCCTACGATCGTGTAACGATAAGTATTTAAATACAGGTCAGCTTACAGTGTACACGATTATTATATAAAATTTACATCGCGGAATAAGAATTATTAGTCAATAACAACTCTTTTTCTAGAATGTGTTTCACTACACTGCAATTTTTCCAATGGCATTATTGATATACGAGCAGCCATGTACATTTCATTCCAATAATATATATTTTCTCTCTTACACAACATATATAGAATATTAATCTAATATAGGAGAACTCATGTAATATATACGTATAAGTACTATTTTTACTCGACTTATAACCAATGCGATTCTTAGTGTTTCACTCGATTCCATCTATCCGGGAGTGTTTAAAAGCTCTGCAACAATATGACGTTCATAAATACTTATTGGCAATTCTTTGCGCTGAAAAGCAAACAAGGCAAGGCGCCATTAAACACGTTCACAGGACGTCCGAATGAATCAACGAGTGCCGAGTAAAAGGCGAATTACATAATTGCTTATATTGACTCGCGTATATTCTTGTCCGCGTCTTTGCGCATAAGTACTTTACTTTTTTTTAAATAATTATAACGTACGCGTCACATCCGCGCAAGTGCATCGCGGCGTTCGGCCGCGGTCTCTGCGACATCCCTCTTTTACTCATCCATACGCAAAGATTTATACATTTGAGAGATCGCCGCCATACTACTCCAATTTGAAATATATGTTTTCTTCTTTTCTTTCTCGCTAAATATGTTTATCCCACGTTTACAGCGTGTGCGTGTGTACCGTGTGCGTCGCACAGGCGATCGCATATACATATATCCGCTTTATCTCTCTCCCTTCGTGTAAATATTTCCCGTATGTGCGTGTGTGAGGATCATAGTAGAGCTAGCTTTTAGTTTCTTAATACGACAAAACTCATAGACGAAACACAGAACGCTAAATAACTAAAGAAACGTGCGTCGTCCCATCGGACTCGGGCCAAGTGGCGTTCTCATAGCTGGTACCATTTCTTGTCTTTGTACTTGAGCATCAGTCCGTGAGCGCCCTGCGAAAAGTTCTCGGCCTCCGACATCATGCGCCCGGTCCGCTCCTCGAGCTGCGACAGCTTCTCTCCGCGCTCCACGACCATCTGGTGTGCCATATTTACTTCGCCGGTCGCGCTGGAGACTCGCTCCCGAATAGCTTCGTTTGGTCCTGGAATATGTTTCGCCACTGTCCGCGACGCACGACCGCTGGATTCGCCGACTGCAATCAGCGATATACAAGCGTCAGCTTACTCCGAATTATTTGTTTCTTCATTTAAAAAAACAATTTAAATAAAACATGTTTCAATTTTTCTTTTACATCACGTACGTACATTACATACATAAAAAAATATACAGAATCGAAGATGCGCTATACAAGATTAATATTACTTGTGATAATATCTCAGAGAAACTATCAAGTCTACTTACACAACTCTTCTCGATCGACACTCCTCGAGCCACCACCAAATAAACCTTTGAAGAAACTTTCTTTGGGTGGTTCCGGCATGTCGTGGCCGATAAATAGATCCCCCATCATCTCCGTCAATTCACCGCTAGTCAAATGGAAATATAGCTGACGTATTGGGTCATATTTAACGATAGACAGAACGTGCCGATATAAAGCCAATGCAATAAGACTGCTCTTATTTTATCGAACTAAAAATAAAACTGATATGTGCATGTAGAACAATACCAGAATTCACTCGAAACGGAGAACTTCTGTATTTCCATCGGTGACGATAGGTACAAACCGTGACCTCGATTGCTGAAGCAAAGCGTCTTTGCGATCCTGCAAAAGATATGCACAAGACGGCTTTACTGCGATGCGTTGTTTCGCAGACAATGGATCGCATATAAAATGACAATATCGGGGTACAACTGTAAAAGAGTGTCCAGTGTGCGTTTTTTTATACATAGCACAAAGCTTTGGTAAGTGGTAAAAATCAGGTTGATTAGTTATAGAGGTTTTAAGTGACGCTTTCCTATGTGAACACATTATGAAGCTGGAAACCAAAAATCGTGAAATCGAAAAGAGAGAATAGTATATTTGCACGCAAGGCACTTGTGTTGTGTTGTGTCAAGGTTTTACGTGTGGTTAGCTGTACTTCATAGTTGACTTACTGATCGGTATCGCCATTAACAAAGAGTTGATGACCCCATATGGTCAACATGGGGTCTACAATGCCGTGTTTTGTGGTCTGAAAACTGTTAGAGATTACAGAGACAGGAGGAAAGTGAGCGCTCGACCGTACACGGGTCAATAATACGATTTACGTTATCATTATAATTAGCATTAACCCTTAAAACAGCCAGCCCAGTTATTTCAAAGAGACTGCCTATATGTTCGCACGATATGTCTTACTCTCTGTATATGTAGAGAAATTTGTAAGTGAAACAGAGACGGCAATGGTAAATGTAGGCCTGAAAGTTCGTAGTGTAGTGCCAGATTTTGCTGAAGTAGAAATCGTAGATATGGTACACATAATGAGACAGAGAAATTTCAAAATAAAAGTTAGAGTTTGCAGATGGAGAATTGCCGGAGACAATTTTGTATTCGCGTGGTTGCGTAACGTGCGACAGTAACGAAATTGAGAGGAACTGAGAGCATTTCCAATTTCAATTTTAACAAGCACATCCGCATTTTCATTCGTTTCCAATGCTTTCGTTCGCAACGCTGCATTCTCTGGAAACCTTAGCGTATGCAGCCCCGAGATTAAAGAGTGCAGTAGAAGTGCTCGTAGAAAAATGCTATAAATGACGCATGCTCTAATTGTGTTAAGGGTTAACGGGTGCGCTTATTGCAGAGAAAAGTCGCATGCTAATATTATCGTTATTAATTCCACTCCTTGATAAATCTTAATATAAGTATAATATTTATGTGGATACACGAGTTATCGTCAACTCTTCATACTTTCTTAGGCGATATTTCGTAAATAGCCATCAAAAAAGTTCTCAACATCGACAGAAGGATAAACTCCTACGGATTTATGTAGCTCCTAAACACATTCGCCTAATTCCTACTTAATTGTAGAAAGAAATATCCAGAAGTGTGTCATATTAGTCTTCATTTCACCTCCAAACACGTCATTCAGTTTTACGTAAATTTAGTTTGTGTAAATTTATGTAAATTTATTGTCTAAAACCTAATTATAAAAAATCGAAATTTGTGTAGTCACATACAGGACCATTCTAATCTATGCACCCAAATTTCTTTGTCCCTAAGACAGATACGGAAAAATGGTTCAAACAAAAGTTGTTCAAGATAATGGGGGTCACCTATCTGTGTAACTAGCTTTGACCTTGAGACTACTTTTCAAGGTTATTTGAAGGTCAGAGTGGTTTTTTAAAATGGGAACCCCTATTTTTTATTACATATTCTTATAGCTTACCTCGAGAGCTTTCCAAAACGCTATAATAAAGTATTTTTTTATTAAGAACTTTTTGAGTTATTAAGGTTTGAAAGTTCCAATATTTTGACATAAATTACAAAATATCTTGTAAAATATTCTTTTTTTTATCATCTTACCTTAATACTTTTTTGAGCAGAATAATAAGACAAACCAACCAATGTAAAGAAAAAATACAATTGTTTAAAAAAAAATTTTTTATTACTTGTTACAAAATTGTGTGTTTTCTTTACACCGGTTGATTTGTCTCATTATTCTGTTCAAAAAAGTATTAAAGTAAGATGATAAAAAATGAATATTTTACAGAATATTTTGTAATTTATGACAAAATATTGGAACTTTCAAACCTTAATAACTCAAAAAGTTCTTAATAAAACAATACTTTATTATAGCGTTTTGGAAAGCTCTCGAGGTAAGCTATAAGAATATGTAATAAAAAATAGGGGTTCCCATTTTAAAAAACCACTCTGACCTTCAAATAACCTTGAAAAGTAGTCTCAAGGTCAAAGCTAGTTACACAGATAGGTGACCCTCATTATCTTGAACCATTTTTCCGTACCTGTCTCAGGTACAAAGAAATTTGGGTGCATAGATTAAAATGGCCCACCCTGTATATGGTGTAATACATTGTGTATAATTGCACATATCACGTATGGTGAATCTTTTTATCATGCAGAATGTTTGATAATTGCACACTTCTGGAGAATATTATACACATATATAAATAGGCGTAGTATTGTTATAAATAGAATTTGATAGAAAATGATAAATCGAAATACTCTTGGGAATAAGTACCTGCTGATAGCCAACTATATAATATTATTTACGTGCCAGTAGCGCATGTATCCCTGGCTTTGGTACCTTATCTAGATCTATTCGGTGATGCAAGTAGATTTGGATTTCAAAATTTGCGTTTATTATTGTTCTACTGCGAATAAATATAAAATTTAAACGATGATAAAACTAAGCAAGATTTTAATAAGATTAATCGGTTTCATGCGCCGTAATAATGGAGCGTTTGGAAAAGTAAATTTTTAATATAAACAGGTATATACAAATGCAGAAGATAAATTTGCTACAAAAGCTTTAAAGATACTGATTTTAAAAATATGTTAATGCAGCAGATGAGCTCTCGCTATTATAAACGACAAAACAATTCGCTGCCGTTGTTTAATTCGAAAAAGAACTTCTGGACTTCCCTTTACCTTCCTGAAAGTTAGCTCCTATTCTCTGTTTTCTAATAAGAAGCAATAATTACGTATAAAATACCATATTTCAAAATTGTGATTTAATATCAGTTATCTTCCAACCTATCAATTGTAATTCTTCTGTAAAACTGCAAATAGCTTTATTGGCAAATGATACTTACACCAAAAAAAGTTTATACATATTTTCTGATAACCTTAGCGTAAGATTAATCGTGATAGAAACAATTTTTCCGAAAAGGCTTAGTAACCTTTGAAAGGATCCTTTTAAATTCTGATTTCAAATGTATTTGTGAAACTATATGAAGTTATTAAAAATATTATGCTTATTACTAACATGGCATCGCTAATTTACAACTGCATTATAAATAGATGTGCAGTGACTATTTTTATGTACGTATAACGTTTATATGTATACCATTATATGTATACCATTCTGAACTATGTAGTATGTAACTTCTAGCACTTTTTAAAATATGTATTTGTATATTATATTAAGAATGAAGAGTATATATATATATATAGAAATTTTTGCGATATTACAATAGCGTATAGTGCAACGCATCATGTGCAATATTGCCACTATTATATTGCCTTGAGCTAAAACGAAAGACAGAAAAAGATCAGAGTTACTTTTCTTACCTCAAATCTATAAGAGGTAGAAAATCGATGTCTATCAATGGTCTGAGACTGGGCAGACTGTACGTTGTGATGTGACCGTTCGAAACGTAACATACCAGGCAGACGTTATCTGGAGAGAAATGTTTCGTGAGAACGAGGTACAGCAAAAGGATTGCGCCATTTTAACCAAGGGGGAAACCGCTGAGGGCACTGTGGTGTACAGATTTACGGCATTACTGGCCACTACTAGGCATTGGTAGGCATTTTTTGGGCATTAGTTTAGGTATTAGGCCTCGCTGGGGCATTATAAAGATAAAATAAGATAATAAGATAAAGTAACGCCCACTGGGCATTAGTGGGCATTGGTGTATAAGATTTTGGTCAGCGGTTTTCTCCTCGATTTCAACCCTTTAACTAAATGACAAAAATTTATTAAAAAATAAAAATAAGCACAATTTTAGGTCACATTTTTCGTTCACTTTCAACTCATGTGTTTTAAAATAAAGTCGAAATTATGTACAAAAAAAGCTGCAAGAAAAAACTCTAACAATGAGAATACGCCAAAAAGTACCTTCTAAATGAAAAAAACCTATGTAAATAAAACCTACAGTTGAGCATATTTTTTGTAGAATAATATATAGTTAACGAACAGCAATTTCTGTGAAAAAAAGGATTAAATTATTATTGAATCCCTTCCAAGAATTATAAGGCTTGAAATCAAGAATTAAGGGCTTGTAACTTTTGACTTGTAATGTTCCTAAACTACAAGGGTAATTTTCTTCAAAGTAAGGGTTCTTCACAAAGATAGTAATGGTCTGAAACTTTTTACAACACATCTGCATTTTCTGGAGTATTGTTTTGTTTAATTTAGATCAAGATAAAATAACAGGACGTTAGATTACAACTTTTTGTGTTGTAGGGTTAGCCTTTGCATATAGTTTACAGGGTAGAAAATTTTGTTTTTACATTTGATACTAACTAAACTGTTAACTTTGATCTGTCATGAGTCCAGTGTGTGCAAAATTTTGCAAAAAAGATGATCGTTAAAGAATTAACATAAACACGCGACAAGTAACAATTACTCGGCATAACAATGGAAAAAACTATACCTTTCAATGACGTGACTTCTGCCTTAATTACAATATGAGTCTCTGCCAGCTGTTGCCTATATACACAGTTTTGGGAAGGTAACGCCACGACTCTTGCTTGCTTCTCTGATGCAAGTACAACGAATTGTCTGTCCTCGAAGTTGTCCCCGCCGACTTGCGTGTTCGTCGACGGTGACATTCGACTATTTGTACATTTTCCTTGGCTCTCTGTGACAAAAATCGCATCGATGTAAACGTAGAAAGAATGTATATTTTCAGAATGTACGTAAAAATTACGGAAATATATACAAAAGCTACATTAATTCTCGCGGATATACATACGTGATCAGTATAAAAAAATAAAACCTACTGTTTCGTTCTTTGCCATCCGTGCTCTCGTCTTTCCAGGACTCGTACGAACACGGGATTAGAGCGCCGTTACAGTCTAAGAACGACATTGATAAGATACAACCCTTGAGTTTGAAAGTGGATCCATCTGCACATACGAAACACGTATTTATTTATTTATAATTTATTTATTAATAATTTAATATCAAATCTTAATATAAAATTATTCATATGATTATTAATATTATTATATATAATAATATATGTATTATCAATAATAAATAAATAAAATATTTAAAAATGTATTGGGTACTGCGATTGACTTGAACAAGAAATTCCAATGGTAAATATTGAAAGTAATATTTGAAGTCTAATTAAATACGAATAATTATAATATGACATTTTTGTCCAAGCTGGTCTTTGTAGTCTAATAATAATTCTGTGTAGACTGTGTTGTACTTTTTTCCAAACTCGGTAAACTGTGCGTTGATTGTCAGCCTTCAAACACAGTCCTTATTTGTTGGAACAAGTACATTCACACGTTTTAAATCAATAAACAATTTTAATTTTTTATATTCATACACATCCTACGTATTTAAATTCATCGTAAGGAATTTATTGCTAAAAATATTACATCAGCCAGGAAATGAACTTGGATCGCCCTCAATCTAACACAAGGTGATATTTCTCGCAATAAATTCTTTACAGTAAAATTTAAGTAGGATATGTATAAACATAAAAAATTAAAATTATTCATCAATTTACAGTATACGAATTTCCAACAAATAACGGCTGCGTTTCAAAACAATAGACAATCGGTGCGCAGTTTACTAAGTTTCAAAAAGTATGTGTATACATACAAGATTCACAGAATTATTATTAGCCCTTAAACTACACACTATCTATTTGAGACATACGCTACACATGGGGTCAATCTGACCCCCGCTAGTTTCAACAATTGCTGCAATGATACTAATAATTTTTTTATGTTGTACAAAAATTAGACATGTTATATTAACATTAACAAGTAGGATAAACTTGGTCCGAACCATAAATAATGATTGCAATAATTTAAAAAAATTAAAATGTAGAAAGAAGCTCAGAAAATGCCGTTTTTTACTTAAAATTCAATAACTTTTTCATTTTTTAATATTTTAACCTAAAAATTTAACTGGATACTCTTGAAGCAATGTTCTTTAAGATAAAAATAATTACAATAGTGCACATTCCAAAAAAGGGTATTTACTTTGACAACCGAAGGTGTGATATTTCGGAAAAATTGAAGGCACATTTTTACTGGTCATTGCAATGAAAATTAATTATATTGTTCGTCTTTTGAGTGTAAAATGTTTTTTTTTACAAAATATATGATAAGTGAAGGTTGAATACATTATTTCAATACAGCATCTGGCGTATGCTCCGAGTTCTCAAATTATACGCCATCTAAAAGTATTATAATTTATGTTATAACTAATTTAAAAAAATCACACGGTATTTAAATTCATACTTACATGTTTCTAGTTAAAATGCAGTAAAATTGAACGAAAAAAATTATGAAAAAAATTCCTCCCAATATTCGTACACTACACAAGGGGTCAGATTGACCCCCAGCGTGTTGAAGCGTCTACTTTGAACGGCTGTCACTAGTCAACTAGCACCTTGGGACCCAGAACTAATGTGTAGTCT